AGGAGAGAAATTTCGAAATAAGTAAAAATAAGATTCACTTCCAGAGCATCCACTTAAAGTCTATGGAAGTTGTTCCTACGAAATGGAGTCGAATCACGATTTTGACATTTTCCTTTTATCATAATTGAGCTGATTAAGATCGCACAATCGGAGGATTTTTCGTGGTTCAGATGCCAGACCTTTATGCTACCGAATGCAAAAAGCACGAAGTCAATTTTGAAAACTGCAGGAGTAGTTGCGGAGCGAACCGACAACTGCACACATAAAGTGGTAAGACAGACAAGACTCAAATCTTTTTCAACAAAAATTGACATTACGGAATGTTCCCTGTATAATTTTAAATCTTCTCACTTCCATACGGTTTTACAAAGCACAGCCCCTCTTAAAAAGAAAGACATTTCAACATTAGATGCGCCAATGTGACCACTTTCTGTGCCGATCATCCATTGTAAACTACTTTTACAGTTTTCAATATTGACTTCTCTTAAAATTACGCTTCGAACCTGAGGCAAAAAAATTTAAGCAATCACGGCTTTAAGAGCCCTTAAGAACTTTGAAAAGCCTTTATCTATCCTTCAGGAAACTTGACACCATTTAAGTGTATTTATGGGTATTAAGAGAGTCTAAACATGTTTATCCAAGAGAACATCTAAAGGCCACCTACAGTAGAACCTCTAAAATGTTTACGAGAGCCTTCAACACCTTACAAGTCTCTCTAAGCACCTTTAAGAATTTTTTAGATGCTTTTAAAGAAGGACGTTTGTTAGGATTTAAAAGTGCCCAAGGATTTTCTAAAGTGTTCCATAATATTTTAAAGTCCTTACTACTAAGGATCTTCAAGGGCATTTCAAAGCGTTAAAGTTTTCAAAATTCTTAAGAGCTTTTAGGAATCGTTTAACAGCTTTTATGGTTTGCAAAACTTTAAGAATCGCAACAGGCTAACGGAGTCGTTCATAAGTCTTACAATGACTCTGTTTAGGAGCCTTCAAGGGCTTTAAGTACCTTCAAAAGGCCCAGCTTTTAAGGTAGTACATTTGAAAGCCTTTAAGAGTGCGCAAACGTAACCAAGAATCGTTTAAATTCCTTCATACATAGTTTTTAACAGCATTGGTCTTTAAAAGTATTCAAAACTGAACCTTAGGGGATGCTAAGACCCTTAAAGAGCTTTTACAAGTCTTTAAAAGGGGTGACTTTAATAGATTTCGTGAGCCTTTAAAAGCTTTTCAAAATGTTTAATTACTAGTAATTTCGGATAGTCTCCAAGAGCCTTCTAAAACCTCTTAGGGATTTTAATGTTTTTATTAGTCTTTAAGCTCTCAGCCTTTAATAGGTCTTCTCGCACAATCTCAGAATCTCCGTTTTAAACACTCAAATGCATGCGAAATCAGGCTATTAAAGGTTACTAAGTAATGTTACTTCAAATATGACGTATGAAACTGTGATCTGAGGCTGAACTAAAAAATCTTCTTAAGTCGCTTTCTGTAAATGCAAAAGATTTCTTTGGTTTGTACCTATCCTTTGTTTATGGCTTTCACAAACGCGTGTATTTAGGGTATGCTGACGAAATCTGTTCCATTTTTTATTCTCAGCATTGTTTGAAATTTTGAATAACAGACAGAATATTTTAGCGCTTGTTACATTTCTTGCGTATATGCTAGCATTATCATGTGTGTATCATTTAAGGCTTTGTTCGTAAGATGCTTTTTATTCATCCACCGCCAACAACTTCTCATATTCTTGCAATAGGTTTTACTGGATTTTGTAGGTAGCGACTTTTCTTCTGCTTCTGCAACAAACCACTGAAGCGGATGAATGAAATACGGCCTTATCGATTTTGAGTGGTTTCATTTTTCATTGATGCTTAGTGAAATCCCTACTAGCTTTAATTGTGAAAGTAAATTATTTTCTTATCGCTTTTAATATACGATATAACTGAAAATGATAAAACATAACTAAATATATCTTTGGTTTCAATTCGATGGTATTACTTTTCAGGTATTTTACCTGTTTGGTCCGGTCCTGTTATAGTATATAAACTGGAAAACTGACAAATATATAAACCGTCAATAAAAATTTGCTACTGTCATCCTCCCTAAGTCGTTTAGAGAAAAGGGAAAATTGCGCAATAATTGCCCTAATTTCGCTGTTTCATTTTCTGTATTGATAAAGATATAATATCGACTGAATGAACGGTATCGAGAATATCAAATGAAAAGGAGTTAAGTGCCACCTAATTGAAAGCTTCGATCCTTTATAAAAACGCGCACATACATTTTCAATACCAATTTTTCCACGTAAAATATTACCTACTCATCACAGTGTTGTCATGGAGATTACTGAACTTTATGATCTACTTATGTTTCAAAATAAGTAAAATGAGTAGAGGAATTCTCTTATTTACGAAAGCATCTCATTTTCATCTAAATGGGGTTAAAGGGAGCAATAACCGAGCGAGCACATAGTCGAAATCAGAGGGCAATTAATATCTAATTTAGGTCAAGTCAGTCTAGTTCACTTATTTCGCAATAATTAACATAAGGGTCGATGTGAGGGGATTTTCAGATGATTAATGAGGGCGCTTATTTTAGGAAAACGCTCTTTTGTACACACCGTTTGTTTACATCCCTCGTAAAACTGGGCCATTTGTTTTGACGTCTTAACACTCGAGAACCTAACGGACAGCTTAATGTAACTCTATCTTGATTTTTATTACCTGAATGTAGGGTGTAAATCTGCAGGCAATATCACCCAGAATCCAAGACGGTACAATTCTTGTATACGCTACAGCAGGAATCGACAGAGCGAACAATAAATCTGCAGCTGCCAGGTTTAAAACGAAACAATTGGTCACGGTTCTCATGTCCGGAAACCTTAAAACAAATGAAACATGAGTTAAAATTGCGTTAATTCAACAAGTTTGGTTTATACAGGCTACATTGGTTTTAAGTAAAATTAAGTAATATTTGATTGAGTGTGAATTTATAATGGTAACATCAATGTTAAGGATGACCGGATTAGTAACCCTATAACAGATTTTGCCGTGCTTAATATAGCGATAATTAGTTGCGCCAAACACACCCGATAAAATGCAAGATGTTCCACACGGAGTGTAGGATTGCATGGATAATATTTACCAACCGCACGTTAGTAAGGGAGGTATTGCATTGGGCTAAAAAATGACACGCACTTTTTTGACGTACATACACTTTTGAAGCACCAGGAATCCGAATCAATTTTTTTAATAATGGCAAACTTAGGTTCGAAAAAGAACGTGTTTCTATAAATTGGCGTTTCGACTTCTGTGACATTTTTAATGGAATGTGTTTTTTGCATCAGTGGAATTTGTAATTTCGGATATCCATAGCTAAATGTTTAGGTGAGTGCCATTTGAAATTTAAAAATATATGCGAACATCAATCCAAACTTTTCTTTTTTTTTAATTATGCAAAAGTGAAAGAGGTCTTCGTCTGTGTCTCAATTCAATAGGTAGCCGTCGCGCCGTTAGTTTCACCACGTTAGTTTCGTGATTCAACCTTGAAAGCGAAATGCTTATTAACCTTGGTATTGTACGATGGTACTGCGAAAATTAAAATAGAATTATTAGAGAAACTGTGTCGCCATTCCCACGAAATTATTGTCGTGGATAATTTTTAAGGTAGTTCCTAGATAAAAATATAAGTGGCTAGTTGAGGAGAAGCAGTTCTGGCTAACAAAACAATTTTACGAAAAGCGACAAAATTTTGAGCACGCAGGATATTCGACATGATTATTTTCAAAATACATAAGAAATTACGCAAAGAAATATTGACAAATTTTTAACCGCAGTAAAATTTTGACGCTTGCAAGCAATCACTGAAATATGGACATTAACCATAGCAATTCTAGTTATTTTACTACACGAAGGAAATAACCATATGCAAATCATAAGGGCATCTCATTTTTCCGAAAAAAACGGAAAAAACACGTTGCTAAGTAATGCTTCAACAAGAAGCGTCGACTCGGATTTTTGTACCTGCACGAATGCTTCTTACTTCTTACTCTTCTTCATTACTTATCGGTTCCGGTTTTATTTATATTTAAGCGAAATTTTTTATAACGGTCACGGTACGGTTTCAGTTCTAAAAAAATAACGGTTATGCGCATTTTGTTGGGTCCATCTCGGTTCTAGATTTTTAGAAATTATGGCATTCAAAAAATTCATTATAACAACGTGATATCTTAATAGGTGTGAAAAAGAAGTAAAAAGTCATGAACACAAACACGGGACGTATCGTCAGTGTAGTTAATTTGCAACGGGAATAAAGGACGAAGAGGGAAAAAACAGAAAACATACATAGAAACTTATGTAAAAAATTGTGTATGGAGTATTGTTTTTAATTTTATTTTCTAAAACCTCGCCCCCTCCTTTTATTATGTGCATTTACAGTAGTGGCTAAATCACCGCCACCGCCACCCGTACTGCCGTGAATTTTGAGTCCTTATTAAAAATTTATAATCCACCGATGGCAATCATAGAGTAATATTTTATCCATTTTCAGAAGGTGTTTGCCGGCGCGTCCTTCAACTTCCAATAACCTGTTGAGAACCGTAAAAAACCGAAAAGAACCGAAAAAGATACCGGGTCCCTGCGCGCTGCTGATATTTATTAAAAAGACGGTCCTGTTGTTTCTACAAACTAAAAAGACTACCAACTTTCCGAACAGGAAGCAGAAGTAATTCACAGCGATAACTCGAATTAACCAAAAAATTGATGAAATCGTAACCCTTAAAAAACGAATCCATAAGACTGTATGGTTGGGTCGTATGTCACGCAAAGATCCTAACTATTCGAATTTTTGGATCCCCGAAAATAATCGAAAGGTGCATGATAAGTACCTACTGTATGTGCACGTTCAATGTTTTTTTTTGAGAAAATAGTTATTTACATAAAAGTGAGGAAAATTACACATTATTGGTGAAAAGATATTAAAGGACGAGCTCCCCTGGGACCGAATACTTTCATTTCCGAGTCAAGTTATGTCATTTTACTGACGAGTTGTCTTCACACATAATCATATTTTAATATAAAATTTCAATTTTCATATAGAACTTTTGATTAATGCCAGTCTGTCAGTCATGACATGAGTCATTATAGCCATTTATCAATGTGACAGGTGCGGCCGATAAAGTGACAGGTGAGTGACATAAAGCTGAAGTGAAGGTTTTATGACGATTTTGGGTAAAATTACTTACTGAAATGGAATGGGAAAGTTGTAGCTCTTAGTAGTAAAAAATGTTTCAAAACCCACTCATGGGCGTTGCCTCGTTACACAACTGTAAATGATGTTGATGAGTAACGGGCCAATATAGACCATAGCAGCTATCAATTGGCGAAAACCCTCTAGGTGGCCCTGGGACTGAGATCGTGATGGAACTGACAGACAGACACAGACAGACAGACGACGGAAAATCGAGCACATATACATAAACCTCTCAACTTCTTTGGGTTACGCTAAAAAACACATTTCTTGTTCTGTAGCTAGAAAAAGATGTTACGTAGTAAAAATAGGACAATTTTATCTACAGCGCATTCCGCAGTTAAAACGAGCCATCCTGAATAAGTCGTTTGATATTGAGACTATAAAAAAATCGTGAAACATGTCAACTTTGGTGTCCAGGGGGAAACGTTTCGGTATATAAAAATCTACCCCTTGTCAGTCAACATAGTCGACTTATTCGAAATGTCTTTCAATTCTGTATCCAAACCGGTAACCTTTTTAACTTGGAACGATAAGTAACATTCCTCAAACTTACCTTTGGGTTTGTAAAAATGTAGATAGGTATATTTTTTTACGTTTTTCTCATCGAAATAGCGGATTTCCGAATTACAGCTGATAATTCCAAGTTGCAACTCAAAATTCCAATTTCCACTGATAAATTTCAATTACGAATTCTGAATTACAACTTGGAATTAATTCATTATCATGTTTAATTGTTACAATATGTTGTCGCCCTTTGAAACCGTTGCTGAACAATTTATTATGGCACTTTAAGTGAACATTTACTCAAAACTCGCCTAAAATTTATAAGAAAAGGTGTCTGAAACCAAATTAAATTTCACGATTAGTGACTATCTGTTATTGTGAGCGAATACAGTGAAAATTTGTTATTGTAAACTGCCGAAAATTTGTGCCAATGTGTCTCCATGAAAATGTATACCTAGACACCCTTCATTACATTTTAGCTTATTTATTTCATGTTCTCGATCCATCAACTTTATCCTACAACTCTGCACATATTTTCCTTCCAGTTTGAATATTTAATTACCTATATGGAAATTATTTCGTTTCAGGTAAGTTCACTATTTGCCCCTCGATTTGCCCTTAAAGGATGAATCTATCTTCTAATCATAGTGCAAGATAAGATAACATAATAATATTGAACATTGCAACTAACTAATAATTAAAAATCAGATGAGAATTGCAATGCATTCATTTGATCTAAATAAAAAGCACCTTTTTTTTGTAGTAGGTAAAGTAAACAAAATTGGCACCTAAAAAGTTCAACATAAATATTAATTTAAAGATAAATTGAAATTTTAATTAAATTCTAAGTTTTTAATTAGCCGTAGGGATTTAATCTTTTAGAATTTTAACGAGGTTTATAAAAAAATGGAAATTAATTAACTTTGTTATACAATTTATTGACAAACAATCCTCTACTGGGGTGAATTACGCAAAATTTTTGTTGGAAAATCCTATATTTACTAATTAATATGCATATTGCAATAGTAGAACGATGTAAAATATGGCACGCTCACATTTAACGAAAACGGTAATGTCTATTTTCGCATATTTGGACGTCCACATTTCAATCAAGGTTCGTTAGGAAATAATGCTGTAATAAAATATCCAATGCCCCTTCGTGCAAGCTAAAAATACACATTCAGTCCAGAAATAATTGGATCCAGTCAATGTACTTACAGGAAATTATATATTTATAGCCCAAAAATCGATTGTGACTATTTATCTTCTATTTATAACTCGTCCTCTATTTTTAGAGTATAGAGTAAGGATACATTTTGCGATTGTGTACTTCTACAACGTTCATCACCCTTAGCCAACTATTGCTCAATTTACTACACAAAAGCTCCAATTTTGTTGTATTTCCGTGTTACATCTTGTAGATAGACTTTATCTTTTACAATGTACTAAAATGATGACATCAACCATTTTAGGGTTGTTGTGGAAAAATACCGGACAATAAATGCAAGGCACATTTTTATTGAACTTTTAACAGCAGATCGTCGGGATTATTTCATTCCGTTATCATAAAATGATACAAAGTTTTAATGTTCTAATATCAAATCTACCTTATCGTGGAAATACACTAATCATCGCATTCTTCATTTTACACGGTACGCTATTCAGGTGGAAATAGAATCAGGGGACCTCTAATATTTAATCAAAATTGCGAATTGGTAGGTTAGGTACATATTTATATTCAACGGTCGACGTAGAAAGACGTTTATGAAAAGATCGCTTATAGGTTCTATATTGCCATTTTCGGAATAATTTTAAATAACAAACGTATCAAAATACTGTTCTGCACGTTGTGAAAGAAAATGTGGAAAATTGCATAAAAAAGCTTACATTTGGTTGGCTGATGCCTACCAGCTAATATTGTAGAAAGCATAAATCAGACGATAATCTAAAGCACTGTAAAATAAATGGCCAAATGTGTGAGAAAATAAATAAAAGCAAGAAAGGAGTAGACCAAAATTAGAATTGTAGATAATTTGTAAGTATAGACTCTACGGAATGGTTGTAAAATTACATTCTTTAGTGCTGTGCGGTGTGTAAATTTGAAAATAGGTATTTATTAGAATATT